CAGAGTCTTTATTGCCCTCAGTAGAGTGCCATACTGTCACAGCTCACAGCAACTTCCAACTCCTGGGCTTAGGTGATTCTCTTCCCTCAGCCTCCCAAGTAGCTAGGACTACAGGCGCCCACCAGAATGCCCAGCTATTTTTTTGTTGCAGCTTAGCCTGGGCAGGGTTTGAACCCATCACCCTCAGTATATGGGGCCACTCTACTCACTGAGCCACAGGCACCGCCCTAGCCTTAACTTTTTTTTTAAAAAATGATTCATGGCTCGGCGCCTGTGGCTCAAGCGGCTAAGGCGCCAGCCACATACACCTAAGGTGGCGGGTTCGAATCCCCAGCCCGGGCCCGCCAAACAACAATGATGGCTGCAACCAAAAAATGGCCAGGTGTTGTGGCGGGCGCCTGTAGTCCCAGCTACGTGGGAGGCTGAGGCAGGAGACTCGCTTGAGCCCAGGACTTGGAGGTTGCTGTGAGTGTGATGCCATGGCACTCTACCCAGGGGGACAGCTTGAGGCTCCGTCTCAAAAAAAAAAAAAAAAAAAAATGATTCATATCCAAAAAGATTCTGTAATTCATGTATTTTTTCATTGTGTCAAATATGACATTCTGAATGTGTTACAGTTTGCTACATTATTCAAATAATAAAAAAAACCTTAGCACATTTTCTAAAAATACATAAAGACTAATAACGGAATTTTTACCATCTTACATTAGGAGAAAGCAATAAAAGAAAACCAAAGGAGAAACATGAGAATCCAATAATCAGGTCTGCTTTGTCAGGTGAGCTGACATGAATCACACTGGATTTTACAGTAAAAACTACTGATATATAAATACATATACATACATAAATATAGGTACATACTATTGGCACATACTTTTTAATGCTGATATGCATATATACGCGTATGAACTTGAAAACTGTTATAAAATCAATACTGGTGTATGGTAAGAAATTCAAACAGCACATTAAGCCAAATATGAAGTACAAACTAAAGTCTCTCATCTCTCTTCTCCCTAAGTAACCACTGTTAACATTTATCTTGAGTATCCTGCAAAAAATTATCTGGACGCTACACAGGAGGCTGAGGCAAGAGAATCGCGTAAGCCCAGGAGCTGAAGGTTGCTGTGAACTATGATGGTACAGCACTCTACCGAGAGCGATAAAGTGAGACTCTGTCTCTAAAAAATAAAAAAAAATAAAAGTTGGGCAGCGCCTGTGGCTCAAAGGAGTAGGGCGCCAACCCCATATGCCGGAGGTGGCGGGTTCAAACCCAGCCCCGACCCCAAACTGCAATCAATCAATAAATAAACAAAAAGAAAAGAAATTATCTGGGCAAAGACAAGTATGCATATGTTTATGTGCATATGTGTATAAGTTTTTTTAACCTAAACTGTTGTCACTGCTTCAATGGTAGGGAAAAAAGCACTTCATAATCTTATTAAATACAATGAAATACATCAAAAGTGGTAGTACAATTAATGGCACAAAGTATTATACTCTTCAGAAATGTGCCTTGACTTGAATGTACTACATTTTCATGCTTGGAGGCTATAAGAAGCAATCCTACTGAAAGAGCGGGTAAGGAGCCAGACAACCTGTATTCTAATCTAAGTAGTTGAGTAGCCTTAGGCAATCCATGAAATCTTCCTGAGCCCTAGTTTCTGCTTTTATAAAATAACAGAGTTGAACTAAGATCCCTTACAACTGTAAAATGTTATAATTCTAAGATGGCCGTCTTTAACAGTGTTCTCTTGAACTGGCTGTAACAAATGTTATTAAGGAAAAAGGACAAGAAGAAAGAAGCACTATTGAAACCTATAGTCTTACTAGAGTAAATTTCTATGGGTCATTAACTATCAAGGTACAGTGGTGATAGAACTAGTGACATAATTATATCTGAAGGCAAAGTAGTGGATTACTAAAACCTGATAGGTTTTTACAAAGCTTTGATTGACGTTTTTCTTTTTTGTAGGTGGAGAGGACTATTGCTTAGTTTCAGCAATAACCACTACCCCCCACCCTGAAAACAATTTAAGTGCATTATGGAGTTAAAATTATGAAACTGAAAGTCAAATTGACATTTTGTTTTACAGAACATGCCAGGGAGGTGACTAGAGTAGCAAAGGTTGGAAAAAACTACTAGCTAATTTCCTCTTCCGGAAGATCTTTGGTCTCTATTCTATTTCACTCACCCTGCCCAGTCACACTCCACCCTGCTCCATACATGCTACAGGTATCAGATGGGGGGGGAATCCCTTTGCTCATATGTTTTTTAAAAGTTATTTGACTCGATTTACCTTAGGTGACATGAGATTTAGGGACAGAGTCCAGCGGGCCTGAAGCCAGCCACCCACCCACGCCTTCCTTCAGCAGTCCCGGGAACCTGGGCTAGGAGCCCCAGGCGGGCCACCCCGCCCGGCGGGCGCGGCCTTCCCGCCCTCCCCTGCAGCGCGGGGCCGGTGGGGAGTGGAGGGGAGAAAAAGGGAGGGGAGAGGAGAGAACAGGAGAGAACAGGAGAAAGGGAAAGCCCGCACAAGCTGTACCCACCGCACGAGAAGAGCTGGCCCCAACTGCCCGCGGCGATCGGCCCGGGCCCCAATCTGGAAAAGCCAACTCCGTGGCCCGGCCCCTACCTAGGTGAAGGAAACGGAAGTCCCTGCGTCTCCCTCACGCGCCTCCACCAGCCAGCTCATGCCCTGGAGAAACCCCGAGTCTGGAAACCCCGGAGTATGGCCACATCAGGGACTCCAGAAAGACACCAGGCGCGGTCCGTCAGTCTCCCAGCCGGGGCCCTGCCACTGGGTCCCGGCAGTATCCTTCCCACCCCCTGCCGGGAGGTCAGCCTCCAGCCCGGCAAAGCCCCTCCTCCTTCCCCCGCCTCCGCCATTTTCCAACTTACCACTCGGGCCCTGGCGTCCCTCGATTAGAGCGGCGCCTGCTCGGGACGCCGCCAATGTCCCGCCACTTCTCCGAGCCGGAAGGGGGCAGCAAGAAGAAACGGAGCCTTTTTGCCCCCCGCATTCCTCTCCCCCCCCAGCTGGAAACCTGAACCTGACCCAGCGTGCGCACATGCGCAATGGGCACCTAGTAGTCCCGCCCCCCAGCTCAAGCGTTTCCTCTCAGCCTCGAGGGTGGTTTTCCCACGGATTTTACCTGCTGGGCTCTGGGTTTGAGGAATAGGGGAGTAGAGGTAAAAGGATGGAAAATAGCAGAGAGAATGGACATCAAATCTTGAGTTCTTACTATAGACCAGGTAGTGTGCTAGCTACACAACGTGTTCTTTGTTGTAATTTTGACAACCCTGTGAGATAGGCACTCTCTTATTAAACCCATTTTACAGAGGAAACTGAGGCCCAGAGAGGATACTTATCCCAGTATCATGTGTCTAATAAATGAGAAAACTGAGATTAGAATCAGATCTGTTTCCAAGGAGGGAACGATGAAAGGAATGGCAAGAAAGGATTACCTGTTATCATCAATTCCACCGTTATGACCCCAGCGCATCTCTTGGACTGTAATAGCCTCCTCACTGGTCTCCCAGCTTACTTCTTTGCCTCTCTCCATTCTATTCTCCCAGCAGCCAGAGATAGTCTCATGAAATATAAGTCAGATCATTGCCACTTTGCTGTTCAAATCCCTTCATTGGGTCTTCATTTCACTTAAAGTTAAAAGCCACAGATTTATAATGACCTACAAAGGCAATGATAGCTGGCCACCAAGGTGACTCTCAATGATATTCATTTCTTGCTGCTGTGTTTCCCCAAAAATAAGACACTGTCTTATATTTATATTTTCTCAAGAAGAACACACTAGGGCTTATTTTCAGGGGATGTCTTATTTTTATTAAGTATAATACAACAATCTACATTTATTAAAATATAGTTAAGTCATCTTTTTCTGGAACCTGACAGGGGGAGCCGACCTTGTTGGTGGGGCTGGCGCTAGTGATTCGTGAACTGCCTTCCCGTAGCCATTCGCACGGGTGCAATAGGATGCCTGTGACCGCAGTTACCACACGTGCACCCGCGCAAGTGTGAATGGCTCAGAGAAAGGAGCTGTGGCAGATAAAAGGTATTCCAGTCTTCCTTACCACTCCGCGCTCATCACTAGGTCTTATTATCTAGTGATGATACTAGTAGGGTAGGGTTTATAGTTAACAAATGCAGAAATCCTGCTAGGGCTTATTTTTTGGGTAGGTCTTATTTTTGGGGAAACACGGTATTTATACCCTTGGTTAGATCTGTTCTACATTGAGGCTTGGCGCCTGTGGCTCAAGTGGCTAAGGTGCCAGCCACATACACCTAAGGTGGTGGGTTCGAATCTCCAGTCCAGGCCTGCCAAACAACAATGATGGCTGCAACCAAAAAATGGTCAGGTGTTGTGGCGGGTGCCTGTAGTCCCAGCTACTTGGGAGGCTGAGGCAGGAGACTCGCTTGAGCCCAGGAGTTGGAGGTTGCTGTGAGCGTGATGCC